GTTCGAGGAAGGGTCCAGAGGAGGAACAACATGTCTAAAACATGCTTACCGCATTGTCAACTCAACGATGGAATTGTCAGAGTGCCCAGTGCCATGGCACACACAGTGGAAAGCCCTCGTCGACGCAGCCTGCCTCGCCTCGGAATACTGGAAGACGCACCGTGGGAGAGAAACACAGGAGAGAGCGGCAGCGGCACCTCCTCTGCCTCCTCCTGCTGCTCCTCCTCCTCCTCCTCCTGCTCCTCCTCCTCCTCCTCCTATTCCTCCTCCTCCACCTCCTCCTTCTCCTCCTCCTTCTCCTCCTCCTCCTCCTCCTTCCCCTCCTCCTCCCCCTCGTCACCCCCTCCTCCCCCTCCTCCTCCTCTTCCTCCCCCTCCTCCTCCTCCTCCTCCTCCTCATCATCATCATCATCATCATCATCATCATCACTTCTCCTCCTCACGCCTCCTCCCTCCCTCCTCCTCCTCCTCCCCTCTTCCTCCTCCTCCTCCTCCTCCTCCTCCTCCTCCTCCTCCTCCTCCTCCTCCTCCTCTTCCTCCTCCTCCTCCTCCTCCCCTCCTCCTCCTCCTCCTCCTCCTCCTCCCCCTTGTCCCCCCCTCCTCCCCCTCCCCCCCGAGGAGTACGTGCGGGCGAAGAACGGCTGGGTGGGCCAGATGCAGTTCGACAGCCCTGCTGAGGACCCGCCGCCAGAGTCTGTGCCCACGCCCTGCGCGCTTCGGACCCGGGCCCCGGGACGCCCCGAGGAGCGGCGGAGCCGGAGGTTTGCCCGCTCCTGCGGGTCGGGAGCCTTGAGACGGGGGTCCATGCAGACGGGGGGCAGCCAAAGCGCCAGATCTTGCAGGATCCTGCAGAGCCCAGGGGCGCATTGACCCGGGCGTGGGCGTAGGATCTTGCAAGATCTTGCAGGATCCTTCGCATTGACCTGGGCTTGGGGGCAGGATCTTGCAGGATTCTGCAATGCCTGACTGACCCGGGTCTGGATTGACCCGGGTCAGAAGATCCCCGAACGGGCGGGGGAGCACACGGTCAAAAATCTTCTGAACGTGTTCGGACGGGGCCAAGACGAGGGCGAGTCCGTTCCAGAGCGTTCTGGAATGATGGGCCGATTTTCCACCACCACTACCATAGGTAGGAGAGGGAGGAGGAGAAGGAGGAGGAGAAGAAGGAGGAGGAGGAGAGGAGGAGGAGGAGGAGGAGGAGGAGGAGGAGGAGGAGGAGGAGGAGGAGGAGGACCTCCCCATCCTCCCATCTCCCCCCTCCTACATATGGTCGTGTTGGTGGAATACTGGCCCCTCAAGGAACGCTCTCAGAGCGTTCCGGGAACGCTCTGAGAAGGCCGTGGCGCCCGAGACATCCTCCAGAACCACCGGATCTCAGAGATTCTCGACTTATCATCGCCCTGATCTGTCCTCGTCCTGCCCTCGTCTCACGCGTCGCTCCGCCAGTTCCTGGCCTACCACGCTTCGGCGCGATGCGCGAACCACGCCCCCATGCTCCAAGCGGCAGCGTCCCGAGTCTCTCCGGGCCTCCCGCTTTGGCTTCCCCCGAGGGGGTCCGAGCAGCTGGGGCCGGGGAGGGTGGCGCCGCCCCGCCGCTGCATCGGCGCTGCGGAGCCCGATGTACTCCACGACGACGTCGCCGAGACGTCGCCGACGCATCGCCGATGCCTCGGTGATGCATCGACGATGCGGCGCGATCCTCCCTCCGACCCCATCGTCGGCGGCGAGCGAGGGGTGGAAATGAGAAGGAGAAGGCCTTCTCAGAAGGCGGCGGGACTCCTCCGAAGCTCTCGCGCCGCCTTCCGAAAAAGCAGTGCCCTCTGCCTTCGGGGAAGGCCCAGGGCGCTTCTCAGAAGAGTGGTTTCCCTCTGAGCCTTCTGAGGAGGCCTTCTCCTGCTCACTTCCCTCCCCCCGCTCGCCGCCAACATCTGCTCCGACCCCATCTGGGAGGCCTCTGTTCCCGCCACCCCCGCGAGGCAGGGCCTCCTCCCCCAACTCCTCCTCCTCCTGCTCCTCCTCCTCCTCCTCCTCCTCCTGCTCCTCCTCCTCCTCCTCCTCCTCCTCCTCCTCCTCCTCCTCCTCCTCCTCCTCCTCCTCCTCCCCCTCCTCCATCTCCTCCGCCTCCTCCTCCTCCTCCTCCTCCTGCTCCTCCTCCTCCTCCTGCTCCTCCTCCTCCTCCTCCTCCTCCTCCTCCTCCTCCGCCTGCCAGCTTCTGGAGCCGTGCCCCAGGGCGCCCCCTGGGCACGGTGAAAGGCAGCCTGCGAGGCCGTGTGGGGGGGAGGGGGGGGCAGGGGCGTGCCTCTGCCCTGGCGTGCCGCGGCGGAGCGGCCCCCTCCGGCACGCTGCGCCCCGCGAGCGGCTAGCGCGCCAGGGGAGGCGGAGGAGGAGGAGGAGGAGGAGGAGGAGGAGGAGGAGGAGGAGGAGGAGGAGGAGGAGGGGGCGCGGCCTGGCGGCGCGGCGAGGAGGCGTCGGCGAACAAGCTCCTGGAGAAGCTGCGCTGAGCTGGCAGGGGGGGGGCAGCCCTGCCGAGGGAGCAGGGCTCGAGGCGAGCGGTGTTCTCTTGTGGTGGGTGCTTTCGTGCGAGCCGTTCGCTCGCTGCGATGCCGCTCGCTTCGCAGCAGGGGCAGAACGAAGACAGAACGGGGGAAGGCGATCACCCCCACCAAACGACCCCAACCCAACCCGAAGGCCTCAATTTGCCCTCCACTTCCGGTTTGGGGGGTCGGGGAACATTTGAAAAAACAGATGGAACCCGTACCCCCCCCAAACCCGAGATTCTAGGGAAATTCGGGCCTTCGGGCTGGCAGGACAGCACGAGCACGGCACGCGCCGTTCGGCTCGAGCCCTGCGAGGGAGGCGGCCGCGACTTCGTGTGTTTTTTGTTGTGGTTCGGCGCCCTGCGCCCCGTGGGCTGCGGGGGGGAAAAGTGGGGCCAGCCTTAAGTCGGGCCTGTCCCTCTGGGGGGGGCAAGTGTCCCAAACACAGTAAGAGCATAGCGTATGTGTAGAGCACTGTTTGAGTAGTTTTTACGTCTTCGTCCAACAGCCGCCTGTAGGGGGACATGCCCGACTCAAGGCCAGCCCGGCCGACCTCCTCGGCCCAGGGTGCTCCACCTCGTGGCGCGGCCCCCGTCTCGGCGTGCCTCGTTGTCGATGGCCCCCCTTCCGCCTTTGAGTCCTCGTCCTCCCCCTCCTCCCTCCCCTCCTCCCCCCCCTCCTCCTCCCCCTCCTCCCCCCCTCCTCCCCCCTCCTCCCCCCCCTCCTCCTCTCCTTTCTCCTCCTCCTCGTCCTCCTCCTCCTCCCCTCTTCCTCCTCCTCCTCCTGGTGGGGAGGGGAGGGAGGAGGAGGAGGAGGAGGAGGAGGAGGAGGAGACCGCCATAGGCAGACTGCCCCCTCACCTTCCCCCCAGTGCATTCTCCGCGGGCCGCCCCGAGACCACCCTTCGTTCTCACCCCCGGTGCTGCTCCACCGTCTTCTCCTAGTCCCCCCCCCACCTCGTTCCGCCCCCTCCTTGCCCTCTTTCCCCCCTTCTCCCCTATTTGGTTTTTCTTTTCCCCCTTCTCCTCCCACAGCCCTCCAGCACACCATGCGACCCCGTGGACAGCCGAGGATCCTCTCTCTCAGAACTCCCCGTTCCTCCTCCCTCCATCCTCTTTCCTACTTCTGCCTCCAGTGGAGGAGGAGGGGGAGAAAGAGGAGAAGGGGTATGAGGGGGAGGGCGAGGAGGCGGAAGAGGAGGAGGAGAAGAGCGAGGGGGAGAGGGGGATGAAGGGGTGAGATGAGGAGAAACTTACCTGGTACCGCACTCAACGCTTTTCAAACGTGGGGCAGCTACATGTAGGACCGCTCAAAACCAACGAACATGATGGCAGACGCGCACTTCGCAGCCTACCAGGGAACCGCGAGGTCTCGGCAGGTCCGCGTGGACCTCCCTTCCGCTAGACCTCCCAGGAGCCCACGATCGCGGCGACAGTTGCGCGGTTCGCAAGCCCCGCAGGGAGCCGCGAGTTCTCGGCAGGTCCGCGTGGACCTCCACCCCGCTGGACTCTCCAGGATCCCACGAAAGTGGCGACAGTTGCTCGGTTCGCAGCCCCGCAGGGAGCTACGAGGTTTCAAAATGTCCACGTGAACCTCCACTCCGCTGGACCCCCCAGGAGCTCACGAAGGCTGCGAGCGCGGTTCGCAGCCCCGCAGGGCCCGCGAGGTCTCGACGAGAGAGAGGACGACTAAGCAGGAAAGAGAGAGGGCTGAAGGGAGGGGATGAAGGGGAGGCGGGGAGGAGGAAGGAGGGAGAAGGAGGATGTGGGGCCCGCACTGGTCTTTTCAAAACGAGAACCCAACCAAGGGAGGGTTGGGACAAAAATGGGTGAAGGAGGAAGGGTAGCCACAGACCCCCACATGACCTCCACGCGAGCAGCCCTCAACATAACCTACAGCATGCGTCCAAGAGATCCCAACACGGCTGTAGGTAACCACAGTGCTCTTTTGAACATATTTCGGTGAGGCCCACACCTTAAAACACCCCTGGGTTGTTCCTCAATCTTGATTTTCTGAGTTTTCTGTGTAGCAGGGCTGCATCCCGTGATTGACGCTTATGCCCATCGCAACGAGGCAAGAACAACCTCGCCTGCCCCCCCAACACCCATCCTCCTCCGCATCACTGGTTATCCTGCTTCTTCTCTTCATCCTCCTCCTCCTCCTCAACCTCCTCTTCCTCCTCTTCCTCCTTCTCCTTATCGTTTCCGTTCTCCACACCATCATCCTCATCGTCCCTCTTCCATCCCTCGTCCTTCCTCCTACCCCTCGTCGTCGTCCTTCACCCCCCGCCATTGCCACCGCCATCAGGAGGCATCGAGAACGCGCCTCAGGCGCCAAGACGCCCCCCAAGACAGCCGAATTCCCTAGCAAGACTGCCTCTGTTAGCTCACTACCCGCCAAGATCGCCCAGAGACGGCCCTAAAACATCCCCAGGCTGGCCCAATGACCCATCCATGCAGATCCCGAGGACCTTCCCACGACGGTTGCTCCAGGACCCGTCGCGATCCGAAAACCCTTTGCGCGGTCCCAAGTTCCTTAAAAGTGTCCCCCAAGAGTGTCCTAGAACCCCCCGAAGAAGTTTCTAGCACGGCCCGACGAAGGCCCTGAGAGGCAACGCGAGTTGCCGGGACTGATGGCGTGGCTTCTTCCTGCGTCCCATGCAATCTTCGACGGAGGGCAGACGATGAGATGCGGAGCAGTTGTGTGAGCAGTAGAGTACGGAACTCTGACATGATCGCGTCGTAAAAAATAACAGGACGGAAGATGTTCGGCTATTTTCGGCCCCAGGGGGCCCTTGTCGGGCCTCGGGACCGTCAAAAAATGATTCGGCACGAAAAACCCGATCCCGGGGAAAGGGTCGGAGGGACGTCATCCTGAACAAAAATCAGGGCGTCGCATGTCTGGGACATGATAATCAGCGGGAAGGCGGATATCGTTTTGACGAGGCAAGCACCTCGGATAGTCACTTCAGCACACGCGAAGCGCGCGTGCCCCCGAGCGCCCGCAACACAGAACGTGATCGCGCCTTTCTCCCTCATACTTTCCCCCTGCCCGTCCCTCTCTCCCCCTTCTCTGGCGCTTCCTTGCCGTCTCTGCTGTCCTCCGCGCCCCCCCTCATCCCTCCCCTCGTCCACCTCCTGCCCCCGCAGGTGTGCAGGCTCCCTGCGTCGCTCCAGCGCAGGCTGGCCGCTCCGGCCACTGCTGCGGAAGCACTGTCCGCGGGGGGCGCCTCCTTTCCCCCGCCCGGCTTCTGCGGCCGCCTCTTCCTCCCCCCCATCTCTCGCTGCTGGTGCATTCGCACGCCGCGCGCCCCCGGCTGCTGGAGCGCGCGGGCGGATCGCCTCTGCCGCGCTGCGACGGAAGACGTGTGCAGGTCCTGAGCTTGACTCCTCCTCCTCCTCCTCCTCCTCCTCCTCCTCCTCCTCCTCCTCCTCTTCCTCCTCCTCCTCCTCCTCCTCCTCCACCGTCCGAGGAGAAGAACCGACGAGACCGCCTCCCCCAAGAGAAGCACCACTTGCTGATGGAGCTGGTCGGGCTGGCGCGTAAGCCGCTGGCTGCCGCGGAGGGCCCGCCCGCGACCTCGAGCTGGCCACGAAGGCATGAGCCGAGGGGACGCGCGGAGGAGCAGGCGGGGCCTCCGCCGCGGGAGAGACAGGCGCCATCGGCGCCCAGGGAAGAGCTGCGGAAGAGCTCCTCCTCCTCCTCGTCGTCCTCCTCCTCCTCCCCCTCCTCCTCCTCCTCCTCCTCCTCCTCCTCCTCCTCCTCCTCTTTTTGATTTCTCCTCCTCCTCGCAGCCTCTCGTGCCATCTCTTCATGGCAGGCCGCAGGCGCCCCCATCCTCCGTGCCGCGGCCCCGCTCGGCAGGATGCTGTAGCCCCGGACGGGCTGAGCCTCCGGCATCACAGCTCGCTGCGGGGGGCCAGCCCCGACACGAGCTGGCCCTCCTTCCTCCAAGCTCTGTTTCCTCCAAGCTCTTCCTCCTCCTCCTGATGTTGACTCCTCCTCCTTTGCAGGCTCCTGATCTCGACTCTTCCTCCTCCTCGTCCTCCTCCCCCTCCTCCTCATCCTCATCCTCGTCCTCATCCTCATCACCCTCAGCCTCATCATTACCCTCCTTATCACCGTAATCACCACCACCATCATCATCACCATCACCAGCACCGTCATCCTATAGTCGTTACCATCATCATACCAAGAAGGATACCCGTCATCATGCGGTCAGGGTTCTCGGCTTGGCGTGTCGCAGCGCAAGTTTTGGCCATCCACGCTTCGGCGCAGCACGCTGGCCACGCCCCACTCCCGCAGCGTCAGCGTCCCTATCTCTGCCTGGCCTCCGACCCCGCTGAGCGGAGCGACGCGCCACACATCCGCTTGAAAGGCATAGCGTGTCGCCGGGATTGCCGCCGCAGCATGCTAGGCAACAGCTCCCGACGCTAAGCGTAGTCATATATTGTCATCGTCTTTTTCCTCATCATCATCACCACGAACATACTCATAATATGGATAATCGTCAGCATCAGCATCATCATCAGCAGCATTTACATACTAATCATCATCATCAGCAGTATCATCATCAGCAGCACCATCACATGATATGCATCATCAGTGTGATCCTTATCGTAATCATCGTCCCCATCGTGAACATCATCAGTACTTGCATCATCATCAACACCATCACCCCCCTAATTATCAACACCATCATCCCCATCACCATCATCAGCAACAGCAGCAGCAACATCAGCAGCATCGCCATCGTCATCGTCGTCATCCTCCACGTCAGCATCATCATCGTCACCAGCCATCATCCTCGTCATTGCCATCGTCGTCATCAGCATCGTCATCATCCCCGCGCCACCCCCGCCGCCGCGCCGCCCAGGACCAACCCCGGGGGTCCTCCGCCGTCTTCTACGCGGCCTGCATGGTGGCCGCCCTCGAGCACCTGCACGTGAGGAGCATCGTGTACC